TATCGATTCGAGACCTCCGACCACCTTCCCGGCACCTTGGGCTCCGTGGCCTGCCACCCGCTCTCAGGCTTTTGATCTGGTCTTTTCATTTCACCTTTCCCAGCCTCAGCCTTAGAAGGCCACAGACCCAGATCTCCACGTCTATTAGCCCTGAAAAGCAGCTCAGCAGCGCTAGGGTTGAAAGAAGTCCGTTCTCACCAGCTGTTTCCTTCCCACTTAATTTAAGTGCAAGCCTTAGCTTGTTCTAATCAGTAAACGGGCACCGGAAGGTTTATAAACCTTCCAGCCCCACCAGGTAATATCTCAGCAAGGTCAACCATTTTTAGAAGCCCTCATTTAAAGAACAGGAGAACAGCGATGGCTATCAACCAGAACCTGTAAAGCATCTCCCACTTTAGCTATTTTCTCTTTAAATTGTAATTCTTTTTTTAAATTCAGGAAAAATACCAGTACAAACTGCCTGAAAGCACAGAGCTGCCTCCTGCTGCGGACCCAGAAGGGAGCCTGAGAGGAGATGCTCTCCTCTCCGCGGCGACACCTCCGGAGGCTGACTGGGCTGGCTTTATGGCGTGTAAGGCAACATGAACACCAAAGCAGGCCTCCAGGGCACTGAATGAAGGGGGCTCAGAGGGACCCCACATTTAGGACACAGTGGGGAAATTAATTCATGCGCCCCGAAAGTCCCCTAACTGACTGGTAGGGTTTTCTAGAGGCCCTTTTGAAAGAGGGTTTGACGGGGGTACACAATTACAAGACTCCTTACAGAGTCTCTGAAATAGAAGTTGCAAAGAAACTTCCCTCTAGCCAGCAGGTTTTAAAAAAAATGCAGGTTTTACTACTGTCATGCAGCTGGATTTCATAGCTACAAGCTAATAGCTGTGACGAAGGAATTATTAAAGTGTTAAATATTTCATTTAAAAGGGAACATTGCAGTCACTTTGAAAAGAAAACTCAGAACTCATCTGTTGAAAACCGTCATGTGTGATACCGCACAGGGAGGACAGTCAAGGGCCTCCACACGTGCCCCGGGGACGGCCTCCTGTGGTGTCCTCGGCACAGGCCAGGCACTTGCCCAGCGAGGGCACTCCAGGCTGGCAGGAAAAGCACAAAGCCGCACGCCTGGCAGGCCTGCCGCCCATCGCCTGGCCACGCCTGCCCAGGAGGGTCTTCAGGGGCAGAGGGAAGGAAGTGTGTGCACACACATTCTGGGTCTGAAAGCAGATCTTAGCCTTTCGCAGGCCTGCTCTTCTTGAACTCAGCGTGAAATACTGCTCTTGGTACAGCGCTTCGTTAGTCACTCCAACTGCTTTTGCGATCGATCGCTAAGGCTACAAGCGTTAAGACGTATGTTATACAAAGAAGCTAAAATTTTTTATAAGTAAATATAAAGAAGTGAGGGAGTGTCCACAGAAAGTAAGTTTAAACGATATTTTATTATGAAAGAAAGAGTAAGATTTATTTCAGGAATAATGGCTTCGTTAAACAACTATTTCTTGGAGAAAAATGAATTCAAAATAAACAAATCGGACCTTTTTAAGAGGTTATATTATAGGGAGGACCCGACCTCCCTAAATGTTTCACTGCATTACAAGACGGCTAGCTCCTGAGCAACACACAAACTCCCTTCACAAAACTCAGAAAACAAAACGTTAATTTGTTTTTGAAATTAAATGACTAAAACAACAATCCCACAAGGAATTAGAATACTTCTTATTCACATTCACGTTTCACTTTCATTTCTTCAACAGCACCACGAACCTCACCCCCGGTAACTGCGGCCTCTCCTTCCCACAGAGAAACCCCACCTGCTGCGGCCCAGGAAAAAGGCAGCCACTTAGGCCTCCAGGCTTCTGGTCAGGAGGACAGCTCAACGGTTTCTTGCCAGAAATACCTAGATAATTAACTTGTTCCTACTTAGACTTCAGAAATCCTCCAAGGTAAGAAGTTGAATGATGTGAAATTTCCAATATTTGACGTTTTAACCTACAAAATGGCAATTCCATATGGTTCAACTCAGCACCGCTTTGTGACCAGCCTAACAAAACAACTAGATGGAGAACACCACACTGATCTGGAGGAAGGAGCCTGAGAGATGAGCGGTCCTGCCTGAGCAGAGGGGCCTCCAGGCAGCAGCAGGCCAGGCCAGGCCCGGGGTAGTGGAACAGACAGCGCAGCCGGAGCAAAGGCCAGAACCTTCCAGCCCGGGCTCTGGGAGTTACCTGCGGAAGTGCTGAACTCAAGGAGGGGCTCAGTTATCACTACGCTTCTAACCAAGTTGAAACAGGGAGGTCTGCTCTAAATCTCAGAGGAATATGATGAAAAATGACACCCAAAAGGATGTTAAACGTGTTCAAAATCTGAGATGCACAGAAAATAGCATTTGTCAAGGAAGCATTTATTCCACGATAAACGCACCCATTCCTCCCCATTTGCAAAGGTTTCTTTTCTTGTGTTGCTTCACAGCTTCTAGAAGCTCTGGGGCTGCCAGGGCACTTTCCTCGTGTGGGCCTTTTCCGCTCACCACAATTTCACTGGCTAAGGGACACAGAGAAAGAGAGCAAAGCCAACCACCGCTGGACAGAAAGGGGTGTCACCACATCTGGGGGTTAGTGCCAATTAACTCCGTGTTAGCAATCATATTACAACCATCCACCACCTCCCTTCTTAAAATGCAAAATCCCCACACCTGGTCCCTGCCTGGGAGGTGTGACTGAGCTAAATTAGAAGCACCTGGCTGACACATGCTGCTGTGTGGGAAATCCTGGCCCTACAGCAACCACTGTCAGCAGGCGGGCCTAGCCTGGGGGACCTCCTGCCGCCAGGGCGGTGCGAGAGGCTGCCCTCACCCCAAAACCCAGCTGGAGGGGACCTGGCCCCAGTAGTGAGTGTCCACCAGCTCTGCAGGGCTTGTCCAACAGGGGATGGGCTACTGGGTGACTGGACGGACTTCATCCTTCCCCAATGCCTACCTGCAGCTTGTCCTGGTTGCCCAGACTGACCATGACCATGACCATGACCATGACCATGACCATGACCATGACCAGCTGGCAGAGGAGATGGCCAAGCTCGGGCCCAGAGCCGGGAAGGCGGGGGGCGGCAGGGTGAGAGTGGTCCCAACTCTCTTCAAGCACTGAGGACAGGACTTCAGTATTTTATAAGCTCACCCCCTGCTGACCCCCTCGTTAGATCATACAGATCCTTCCTGACCTGGTTTCGTAATTTCTCTGCTCTGAAATTTTCTAACCCTTAAATTTCAGCTCACTTACGTGATACATGTAAAGAGAAGGAGAGCCGCTCGGCCAGTTCTCTCCTGCTCCTGCCAGGGCAGTAACCCCCAAATGGCAACAGGAGATCGAAGAGTTCACTGTTCCAAGGTTCCCAAGCCCCTACTGTAAAAACAAACCCACAGCAGGACCCCCCCATCCTGCGCCTGGCAAGGGGGAGGGGCACACGAGGAGGGTCACCCACACCCTCGACTCAGCCCGGTGACCTGAGGTGCTGGTTCCGAGCAGGCGGTCAGTGCTGGTCAGGGGGACGACGCGGCCACAGCACCACCTCGGCCCGCGAGGGCCCCATTCTCGGGAGCAACAACGGAGGGTCTCTGGACGTGAGTAGGGCGTGGGGCAAAGGCCCACTCCAGCTCTCACGCCCTGTCCTAGAGACGCCCTTTTAGACGTTCTGGGGCTCCCAATGGAAGACACCGTCTGGAGACAGCCCGACGTGATGCAAGGGGGCTGACGTGGTACCCAGCTCAGCTTCAGTTCATTACGAGCAAAAACGTCCAGGGTCCTACCTACCTGGTCACTCATCGGACCTTGTTAGTCAACTCAGGTATTAGCTCAACTGGCTTGAACTTTTCTACCTGCTTCCCCTGAACCTGCTCCACCTTCAAGTTCATTTTTGCTGAAAGCCACAGCAGCAATTAGAAGCATTAAGCTTATTGAGCGAATTCCATTTTGAAATTCAAGATGGCTTTAAATTTACCTCATCTAAAATCTCAGGGTAATTTTTTTCCTTAAGTGTATGCATCTATATGTATATATCTATATGTAAGTACACACTCATTAATACTAAGATGACCATGAAAAAAATCACTATGCGAAATAAACCCCTGGTACGTGTCTAGAATGACTCTAGTTGCCATAATGAAGCTGCGAACAAAAGCTTACAAAGAAACGTCTGGGAAAGTGTTTTTAGGTTTTCGCAGACTCTATGTTCCATCGGCACACCGCATGTAGACAATAAGTTCATCCTACAATAATTCATCCCTTGAGAATACAATTATTATTATTATTATTATTTTTTTGTGGTACGCGGGCCTCTCACTGTTGTGGCCTCTTCCGTTGCGGAGCACAGGCTCCGGACGCGCAGGCTCAGCGGCCATGGCTCACGGGCCCAGCCGCTCCGCGGCATGTGGGATCCTCCCGGACCGGGGCACGAACCCATGTCCCCTGCATCGGCAGGCGGACTCTTAACCACTGCGCCACCAGGGAAGCTCGAGAATACAATTATTTAACTATGGTAAATTTGAGGGGTTAACCTGAAAACTTATTCAAGAAGACACACTGCCGCTACTCACTGCAACGTTAAGTGTCACTGACGGAGTGTATGGAAGTGGCCAATTGTCCACGTATGAGCCTCGTCTTCTGTGCTGTTGGCAAGCAGATGAAGTTAACAATAAGCTTATTGAAAAACTTACTGCCATTCAGATGTGTTCCTATTTAAACCTTTCAGCCAGCGAGAGTCAGGAGTCCATCTACATGGATCATTTTTATTGCCTTTGCCAAGAATTACGTGACCACGTGCCAAAACTAACACAACCACTTGGAACGGGTGGAGACTGCGCACTCCTATCCAACCAGCGCGGCCACACGCCGCCTCTGTTCAGACGATGTGAAAACGCCACGTCGGTGTAGTCAGTAACCTGAGCTGGGAGGTCAGGGACAGTCAACAGGTCAGCCCCCCCGAACCAAACACTGCGAGGCGGCCGAGGTACTGACCTTTCTGGAAAATGGGATGGTGAAGAGCAGGCACGGGGCGCTCCTCGAGGACCGCGGGCTCATGGAAATAGGCACCCAGCCAAGCCGCACACTGCGCCAGGGGCTCCGTCACTTCCTCTGGACCTCCGAGCCGCTCAGGAGGAGCGGGGGCCTCCACGGGGCTGCAAAAGAGATAACAGGAGCCGATTCAGCCTCTAGGCCCAGCGTCCACGTGGCTAAGAAGCAAACAGAACACGCCCACTGCATCTAAGCGGGTCAGCCCGTAGCTGCCTTGCAGGTATGCACGTCTCGCCTGCGCCAGGACAGCGGAAAGGTGCCGGCAGGAGGACGGGGACCGCGGCCCGGGTCATCCCACCCGCGCTTCCACCTCCAGCTGTGAGGACACGATCTCTGGAAAGGGGCAGTGCCCAGGAAGGACGCCCGGTACCTGAGCTCTTCTGTTTGGGGCTGACTGTCTGCAGTCACCCTGCAGAGCAGGGATGTGAGAGCACGAGGATGACAAGCACAGAAGCAACTCCAGGGGGAGTGTGCCTGCCCCTTCCTAAGACTATCACCCGCATCAGTTTTGATCTGCAGAATCACCAAGTACTCATCTTAAAAAATATTTTCCAGAAATCTCGATACCATCAAAGTAATTAGCCTGCAGGCACCCACCCCTCCCATCACATTTCAACGACAGACCAGCACGGTTCCATGTGCTCTGTGGCTTTGAGCTGGCTTCTGGGGGACCCCCTCCGAGTTCACACTGGGTCTCAGGCTTCAGAGAGTCTACTCTGCGTGCTGGTCACTCTGCGAGGCTCATTGCAGTTGATGTGACTTTCGTGCCCGGGACTTCTATTTGGTTCTCTTCTGAGTCTTCTCATTCATTCACTGTGGTCACTGTGCTCCCTTTTAGCTCCAGTTTAAACCAACATATCTTAGACTCACTTCGGATGGTCTCACTGTTTCTTCTACTCGGGGTGCTAATCCTTCTGTTTGGGGATCTGTGGCTCCCCTCAAGGAGGTGACTTCTCATCTTCAGCAGGGGCCGATTTTCAGGGAATGTGCTCTGCTGGACTGAGAAAACGTCCCTCTAGAGAGGGTTCACTTTTGCTGCTTCTGAGCCCCAGTTTTATGATGGATCCAGCTTTTCTTTTAATTTCTGAGAATGACACACCCACAGAAGCACCGGCACCAAGTCGGATTTCTTCAGATGCCATTCCTTCCTGACCTCCCAGGCCCTGGACAGATGGCAGGCTTCCCTGCACTTTCCAGCCTGCTGGGCAGGCTTTCTCTAGTCTCCTTCTCAGAGGCTGCAGCTTGAGGCTTTTGGGGGAAGGTGGGAAAAGCCTCCCCCAGCATCCCGAGGGCGGTCACGCAGGCCTCAACCGACAGGCTGCCTCCTGTACACTCACCACCCTTACGAGGGCCCGACTGAATATGCGAGGTCACAGCCACTTGGCAACGCGGCCCAGCACAGGTAGGACGGATGTGGCTGAAGCGCCCGGGGAACACAGGCCTGGCCTCACCTGCGAGGAGACACACACCAGTGTGTGCAGGGCCTTACAGATTCAGAAACATGTGCACTTTATCCTGCAAGCAGCGGGGAGCAGCTGAAGACCTTTAAGCAGCGTCTCATAAACAACCCTGTGCTGGGGTCTCAGTCTCTGAGTCACGGTGTTCTGTAGGTCTAAGAGTCTCCAGAGGTCTTGGATCTTTCCAGAAATAAGCCCCCTTGGATGGGATCCACTCTCTTCCACAATGGAATGAGAGGTGGGTCAGGGAAGGCTTTCTAAGCATGTGAATGTGAATGGCCTTAAGGAAGGAACAAGGGAATGAATGGAAAAGAAATGAGCCCTTCAAGATGAACAGGGAGAGAGGGGGACCACTGAGACCCCGGCTCTGTAGAGCTGGCCAGTTGGGCGATCCTGCCAGCAACACAGCTGCACTGGGCAGGCCCAGGCCTTCTCCAAGTTGCCAGCTTCTAGTGGTTGCTGGGAGAGGGAATCCCCATGCACAGGGCCCTCGGTTGGCCCTGAACTGACAGGGCCCTTTCAGGGTCTGGTCAACAGGAGACCCTGAAGGATGGGGGCTCAGTTCACAGGCAGAAAGCGGCGTCTAGTGGAACAGGTGGCAGAACGGCATGTTGGAGAGACTTCTGGGGATGGAAACTATCTTCTCATTGCCCTGATTGCTCTCCCCATTAGGACGTCTGCCCACGGAAAGGTGGGGAACTTCTACCCCATGCTTGGCTTAAATATTTTTCCATGTCAGAGAGAAGTTCCCAGTGACTCTCTTGCTCTGTTCCCTACTTACTCAGTAAGACTCCAGGGCTTCAGGGGTCTTCTCGGCCATCACACCCTGCAAACGGGGCTCCCTGGGTGGGGGGCATACAGTCCAGGAGACAGGCAGGCATCTTAACCTGGGAGGCAGGGGGCTCTGTACCCACCAGTAACCTGCTTGCCTGGGGAGTCACAGCCTCTTACTCAGATGCCCTGGTTCACTCAGGGGTATCTAACAAAGGCCATCCCGGGTGCTGCCCACGCTGGTAGCCGTTTCCTCTGGGTTGCTAAGGGAACTGAAATGTGAGCTGTTTCCCAGCATTTCCCACTCTTAAAAGGATACTTGAAGAATTTTTATAGTAGTAAAATTCATCTTGAATTGATTTTTTATGCCTGTGCTAAAGGTCTCAACCTCTGACTTACTCTGTAGCTCTCCGTTCTAACTCTTTCTCTATTGGCATTAGATAACTATTCATGGGTGAAATGTAATTAAACAGCTTTGATTCTGAAGCAAGGATTTATGATACTATATTTAAAATGAATGGCATTAAACACACACATAAAACCAGGTTTTTAAAGCCATGACACAAATTTCCATTTCTACAATAAAATGAAATTTATTCTCTGCCCTGCCCTCTCCTCCAGCCTCGCTCTGCTCGTCCCTGAAAGAGCTGTGGTGTGACAGTACCACAGCATCACTAACGGCCACTCTTATTATGGAGGAGTTTCTCCAGGTTTCCTACCGACGAACCCTGAAACCCCGATAATTATGGGCTCCGTGGCCCACACTCATTTAAATCCCACATTCACGTCTCCCTCGGAGCCTAGCAACTCACCTAACACTAAATGCACAGGCCTGTGGCCACTGCTTCCGGAAAGCACCACTGAGTGGGGAGCCCGGCCCCCAGGAGAGCAGCCAGAGAGCCGGTGCGGCAGATGGAGATGAGAGACAACCGTCCCGACATCCGCAGGGCCAGTGCAGAGGCGACATCAGGGGCCATCCCCCCGAGACCTCCCAGGATGTCCTCAATAAAAGTAATCCTGGGACTTCCCTGGCGGTCCAGTGGTTAAGACTTTGCCTTCCAGTGCAGGGGGTGCGGGTTCAATCCTTGGTAGGGAAGCTAAGATCCCACATGCCTCGCCGCCAAAAAACCAAAACATAAAACGGAAGCAGTGTCATAACAAATTCAATAAAGACTTTAAAAATGGTCCACATCAAAAATATCTTAAAAAAAAAAGAGTAATCCTCAGGCCAATATTGTGACACTGAAGCCCTTTCACTTTTTTCTTTTTAAACTTGGCACAAGAGGGCTGGCTAGTGGCTGGAGAATGAATTTGGCTTTGTTGAGCTTTTTAACATAGCAATGGAGAGCATGGGTACGTTTATACAGCAAACATAAAGTCATGTATGGTTTGGTTTAAGGGTTTCTTCAAGAAATATGCAACTGTCGGCAACCCCAAGGACCCTGTAGGACCAAAAAGGACAACAGTGTACCACCTTTGGGGATGCTCCCCGAACCTCAGTGTGTCGGAGAGCCCTGTGTGAAGCTCTCCTGGAGTCGTGACCCCTGAGAAACAGCCAGACCCATCCCCCTGGGCTTGGAGAAAGAACGTTCTGGCGTTGAATTGCATTTCAGATTTGTTTTGACATAAATCTGTCCATCATTCCAAATCAGGACACAGAAAAGCAGGTGACATGCTCCAGAACAAACTTCTGAAGTGGTTTTTTTCTGGTTGTTGTTGTCATTGTTTTAAAATTTGTTTATTTTTCGCTGTGTTGGGTCTTCGTTGCTGTGCGTGGACTTTCTCTAGTTGCGGCGAGCGGGGGCTACTCTTTGTTGCGGTGTGCAGGCTTCTCATTGCCGTGGCTTCTCCTGCTGTGGAGCACGGGCTCAGTAGTTGTGGCACACGGGCTCAGTAGTCGTGGCTCGTGGGCTCTAGAGCGCAGGCTCAGTAGTTGTGGCTCATGGGCTTAGTTGCTCTGCGGCATGTGGGATCTTCTCGGACCAGGGCTTAAACCTGTGTCCCCTGCATTGGCAGGTGGGTTTCTTAACCACTGCGCCACCTGGGAAGTCCCTGAAGTGTTTTTAATAAAGCAGGCAGTGATGCCTTACCTAGATTTCTCAGGAGAAACCACGACTTCACAGCATTAGATACATGAGCACAGGAGGTATCAAAGGAAGACTGTCCATCCCACCTGCACGAGGCTTGCACCTCAAGACCCCGGCGTGGAGGAGAACGACAAGGAAGAGTGACAGCATCACACCTGGGGAAGCGGAGGATTAGAAGGTGACCGAGCCAAACTTAAATGAAACGGCCCTGAGGACAAAGGTCACGCGCACGGGAAGCCCTGCCTGGGTCTGTCCTGCACCCCGGGAGGCTGAGCGCTGGCCCGGGCTAGCGAGGGCAGGGCTGCCTGCTCAGGTGCTGCAGCACCAGGAACCCGCGGGGCAGCAGGTGAGTTGCCGCGGCGGGCAGAGGATGCCAGGCTGGCTGAAGCCATCAGAAAGTGCTGCTCAAGGTCTAACCCCTCACGGAGAATGGCTGCGCGCCTGGCAGGCCGCCCGGAAAGTGGGAGGGGCGTCCCCAGCTCTGTGCCCTCCGGTCTGTCCCACGCGACAAACGTGCTCAACACTTTAACCCACCCAGCTGGGCAGGAGGTTTGGGGGTGTGGATTTTGGGGTGCCCCAAGACTTCACTGGCAGCAAAGAATCACTAAAATGATCATAAAATCATAAAGATGTCATGTACTTGGGCTTAAATCCCATTTGATGTAAGAAAACAGGCCCAAAGTTCCGAGTTCCTCCTAACTGGCGGGCACCACTTGTCACACCCAGCGGGTAGACTGTGTAACACGCCGCGCGCTGGGAGGGCTGTGCCTTCCAGCCTCTCTGTGTGGC